ACAACAAACAACTTGCAACCAGATAACAGCAGCCACATCTCACTAGCGTAAATTGCTGTAAGATCTTATATTATAAACAGTTTTAAGAATATAAATAAAGTGTACGCATTTCGGCGTAGTAATAAAAAAATATTTTTTTAACTCATATCGTGAAAGCAATATTAACTGGGGGCTCAAGCCGGTATAACCCTTGACTGCAGGCAAATATCTTCAACCTACAGGATAATAAAATAAAAATTCCACGGCTTTGAAGAAAAGCATAAAACCAATCTCTGAAAAAAGTGAGATATAATAAGTTCATACAGTCGCGTAAAAGGCTAACCTTGAAATAGCAGGCAGAGTAAACCTATAAAAAGTGAAAAGCGAAATGAGAAATTCCTGGCTTCAAAGAGAATCCTTCACGCTGGACTCACGTAACAAACGCCACAAAGTTCAATTCTAGATATGCGCTCAATGCAACAAGACGATACAATGGCACTGGGGCCCTATTCTATAACTCGATTCGAAAATAAATTTGCTCGAATTCGGATTTTTTGTACTTGGTAACTCTATTTTCGCATTTGCAATTCTAATTTCGAATAGTATATTAGAAAATCGAAAACTGGCAACTATGTAACTCGAATTTGAATGTCAAATTCATTCGATCGTCGCAAATAATACTCGTTAGCGTTTGAGCTGTAGAAACGGAATACTATTTGAAAAATGCAAGTATTTTAATAATTTTTTATTAAGTATAACAACTATAAACGTAAAATATTTTTCAATAGGGATTCATCCAGCAAAAGCCAGCATACAAAACAAAGCCAATTTGGAATTATGGTGGAATTCATGGAATCGCATCCAAGTTTGGCCAAAGGCTACATAAAGTGCGCTGATGCTAAGCAAACTTCCAAGAATTTGTGGGGACGGCTGACGGAAGAGTTCAATGGAGATGGACCACCTACGCGGGATGCATCTTCATGGAAAAAGGTAATTTTAGTGTGAGCCAAATAATGTTAACTCTTAAAGCTGCAGCAGGAGCCGCGCGTCGTATGACCTATCAAAGTACCGTTTTCAAGGTATAACGGTTATGATAAATAGCCGTATGCTAATGAACCACTCAATGAAGTACAGTTTTAATAAAGCAAAAGAAATTAAATTTTAGCAAATGTTACATTTGAAATATATTAAAAAACAACAAAAAATATAAACGCATTTAATTTATGTAATGAAAAAGAGTATTTTTTAAACATACGACGGCACTATGAATGGAATTTCGTTTATTATTAACTATTATTATTATTTTTTATTTACATATTTAAGGTTTGGGCGGATTACAAGACCCACCTCAAAGCCAAAGTGCGCAAAAATAAGTTGCACATGTCCGGAACTGGTGGTGGCCCTGCAAAAATTAGTTCCCTTAATTCGGTGGAGTTAAGGGTAATGGAGTTGTTGCAAATAAATGAAGCAGTAAATGGAATAGCCGGTGCTCAAAAATTCGGTGCAGGAAGAAGTGAAGCCACAAACAGCAACGAATGTAAAACTGCTCCAACCACTCCGAATTATGCAACTGATTTGCAGGATCGTGCAGAACTGCCACCTTCTACTCCTCCTTCCTATTCCCAGGTGTCACCCAATTGCAGTACGGTGCGGTCCCGAACTCAAAGCAAAAGCAATCTTTTGAAGATGCAAGTGGATGGGCAAAAAAAATTCCACAAAGATTGTACTCGCATTTTAAAAGACGTCAATTACAATTTAAAATCAATAGCAAAAACAAATAAGACATCTGTGGAACAAATGGAAGAGAGAATAGAAATAGAGAGACAAAAACTTAAATTCGCAAAATTAAAACATGAATACAAAGTATAAAGCGACATGGAGAGAAACAAAATTAGAATTTCAAAACTTAGACTGAAGCAACAGCTGCTAGATGTTAATACACGTAGAGATTAATATACATACATATCAAATATTTGCCTCGTAAGTACATATGTACACTTGAAGAAAATTTTTATGTTTATTTTTATATATAAATACATATGTATGTAATAGAACCACAAACATATTCATATATTATTCTCAAATAAATAAATAAAGAAAATGTGCTTGTTGTGAAAAGTTCTTTAATTGCATTGATTTACTACACATATTTACGAAATTTAAATTAGGAAACCAAGCTATTTTTAATTCGGTCTCGTACTGTTTGTGCAATACGTAAAAAATCGTTCTCTTCTATATCGGAGTTGGTCGATAAAGCTAAATTTGAGCCTTCTTCATCGCTCTCAATAACAGTTGGTGGTTCAACATTATATGTAAGGCAAATGTTATGCAGTGCACAACAAGCATTTAAAATTTTTACTACTTTTTCGGGTGTATAATGAAGCTCTCTTTCAGGAAGTAGGCAACGAAAGCGATCTTTTAAAATTCCAAACACTCGTTCTATTATCGATCGCGCTTTGGTAAACCTTTCATTATATACCATTTCTGGAGAATTTTCTTCTGCGTTACGGTAAGGTGTGAGGAGCCATGGCTCTAATGGATATCCAGAATCACCTTCAAAATAGAAGATAATGCATGCAAATTTGTAAAAACCGGTACGTTTTGGAATATAAAACAGATTATAACTATAAGAGTTTGTTACAGAGTACTGTGCTACTAACAGGATTTTTACACCATATGCATTTACATATGTAAATGCTACTTTTTTGTATGTACTCGTATGTACCATATATTACATTAGGGCTATTCGCGATTCGGTGCATAAGAGCTGACAAATTTATGCAATTGCAGAAATATGCCATGGATTGTGAGCGACCTTTATTAAACTGTCATGGTAAAGCTTTTGCAAAACAATTTTTGTGCATCAGCTTTGGTTTTGTTTATGAATGCAATGCATAGCATTTTTATGCTATGGATTTTCGGTATTGCAAATTTGCCAAGCCATGACAAATGCAAATGCGTGTATTTTGTTTGTGTATTGCAAATAATTTGCAATACAAATTTGCAATGCAATGATGCTAGGCCATTTGCACCGGATCGCGAATAGCCCTATTGTATCACAAAATTAGCATTTACATATGGAAATATATATCGTGTAAGATTGCTTTAAGTGATACAAGTACATATGGATAAAGTCACCTACCAATTATCCAAGATGATTTGTCTCCATTTTGGTATTGGGCTTTTATATATTGTCGTTCGTTTGACAAGCTCCATACATGAGAATCATGAGCCGCTCCACCATAGACTCCATTCACAGCTCTTATGTACATCTTGTGATCACAAATCTAATAAAAAAATGTTATGAAATGGTATGAACAAAAACTTGTAAGTATTAAAAACTTACCACCATTGCATTGATGCTATGCTTTAGCTTCCGGTTCATCCTTTACCGGCCTAACCATATGGGATATGGGTTCCATCAACAGCACCTATTATTCCTGGTAATCCAAATTTTGAGTAGAAATGGTTTTTGGATTCACGCTTTTCTTGCACGGTCATTTCAAATTTTATGTGCCTCGGACATAAAGTTTTTTCTATCGCATTAACTACTTCCGTGATACATTTAGAAGTCGTGGATTGCGCTAATCCTGCGAAACGGTCTTGCCCTATTTGGTGCTGATAGCCCCCTTGTCCCAGAAATTTTAGAGTAGCAGCAAGTTTTACTGTCGGAGTTACTGCCGTAGATCTTATAGGTGCATGTAATTCGTGTTCTATGCTCCTCAACACATAACTGAAGGCATCCTTGGAAAGCCGAAAATTTTTTATGAAGCTATATTTTCAAATATATAATCATTAATAAGTTAAATTTATAGCCGGTTATATTACATATGTATGCATTTACCTTCTTTCCGATAATTCATCAATATTAAAATGATCTCTTATAGCCCTTCTTGCATTTCTCTCTTCATTAATTTCTTCGTCCATCCACAATGCAACAGAATCCATTTTTTGTTTGTTGATAAAATGAATAACAATTGTTTAATTTAAATTATGTAGTTGTTTACTTGTTTTCCTTCTACGTATTTTGACGTTTGACATTCGAAAATTCTGGCACAGGGTGGCACAACTTTCGAAAAACTAGAAACTCGATCCGAAACTTTTACAGAATGCTAAACCAAATTCGACTCGAATAACAAATTCGAATAGAATCAACTTTCGATTCGAGTTACAGAATAGGGCCCCAGGACTCGCAACTCTACGAGCACAGGTAGAAATACAAAGGCTCTAAATAACACACAATTAAAGGCTTGATTACACATATGCTGATCAACGACCATTGTATGTACTTCTGGAAGAAAATTACACAAGGAACACGCACATAATCGGAATTTCACAGCGAAATCAGCAGAGCACTGAATCTCTCACTCTCAAAGATAGAGATGTCAGGAGAACAAGGACCTGCATCCATGTTAGAATATGCAAGCCAAGAAGCAGTCCATACTTTCATCACAGGACTCAACAGCAGGTATACAAGCGGCACATTATACAGTCATCACCCAAAAGACTTAAAAACCGCATATGCAATCGCAAGCACGATTTATAACGACGATACGAACATGCAGTTCGACGCACAAATTACACCACAAAGATATAACCAGCGACAAAATCCTCAACAACAGAGATATGATGATAGAAGGAGATATAACCCAAATGTGCTGGTACAATATAACCTCCAACCACGCCAAGAACCAATGGAAGTAGATGACTCTCGTCAACACGTGCGACCAACACAATACAACAATCAACCCCTCCTAAGGAACAACTGTCAGCAATCTCAACGATTCAATAACCCGTTCAGAGAAGATCAACAAGCAGCAAAACGCGGAAAAACTCCTTCTTCAAGAAATTACAACACCAACGAGGTACAACGAATAAACCAGACGAGTGATGAAGACCTACAATCACTCGCCCCCACATACTGATGATATCTACGAGAGGGGAAGTGCTTTTTTTTAGGAGAATAAACGAATTACCGTGTCTCCAAAGGCGGTGTCAAACGACAGGTATATCCGTTAATATTTTAATTGATACAGGTGCGACAAATAATTACATTAGTTCTAAGTGTAAAGTAGGAGAATCTATACCCATAAAACCGGTTAAAGTTAAAACGCTTCATGGATACTCTTTAACCAAAGCTATGAAAATTATTACAATACTCAATCATAATTTAGTTTTTTTTTTTTGAAACCGAAGCTTTAGAGGAGTTCGGTATGCTTCTGGGTGAACACGGTCTTAGGGTCTTGAAAGCAGAAATTAACATTTTCGAGTATAAACTATCATATAAATATAAAAAGCAAGTAAGCGACCAAAAGGTGAATTTCACAATTAATAACGACATGCATAAAACTGAAATTGAAAATATCATGACAGAATCAGAAGATCCTATTTGGGTGAAGCATTAACCGTATCCGATAGCAGACAATGAATTTATAAACAAAGAAATAGATAAATTGTTAGATAACCAAATTATTCAACCTGGCAAAAGTCCTTACAATTCTCCAATCTGGGCCGTCGCAAAAAAACGTACCGATAACGAAGGGAAACCTAAAAGACGAATGGTAGTAGATTTTCAGAAGCTTAACGCTCAGACTATCACTGATAGATATCCTATCCCAGATGTTGCTATGACAATTCAAAATCTAGGTAAAGCAAAGGTTTTCACAACGATAGACTTAGAGTCAGGTTTTCACCAAATCTTGATAAAAAAAATCAGACAGAGATAAAACTGCATTCAGTGTGAATGGCACAAAGTATGAGTTCCTTAGGATGCCGTTCGGTTTAAAGAGCGCGCCTTCTATATTTCAGCGATGCGTAGACGATATCCTACGTCCATATATTGGCAAGTTCGCATATGTTTATATTGACGATGTACTCATATATTCCTCCTCACCCGAGGAACACATGGAACATATTCGTACAATAGTAAACGCACTTCACAATGCCAATATGAAGATTTCAAACGAGAAATCGCATTTTTTCCAGGTTTCAGTCGAATACCTCGGACATATAATAAAATATAATAAAATAACTGTAGATCCAAATAACATTCAAACTGTAAAGAATTATTCAACTCCAAAAAATTTAAAAGAATTACGATCATTTCTTGGCCTAGCGAGTTATTACAGGAAATTTATACAGAATTTCGCTGCAATAACGAAACCTCTAACAACATTTCTACGCAGAGACAATGGTGGTGTAAGTAAAAATCAAAGCGCAAAGGTCTCAATTAATCTAGGCGAAACAGCACTTGAGGCTTTGATAAAAATAAAAGACGCACTACAAACACAAGTTGAATTATTTCAACCAGACTTCAGCAAACCTTTTGAACTAACGACGGGCGCAAGTAACTTTGCAATAGGAGCTGTACTCTCTTAGAACAAGAAACCTATTTCCTTTATATCTAGAACTCTTAGCCAAACTGAACCAAATTACAGCACGAATGAAAAGGAATTACTCGCTATCGTTAGGTCACTTCAAAAATTAAGAAATTACCTATATGGTATAGCAGATCTAACTATTTATACAGACCATCAGTCACTCATCTTTTCGATTTCGGATAAAAATCCGAACACTAAACTAAAACGATGGAAAAACTTCATAGAAGAATACGGTGCTAAATTAATATATAAACCAAAGCATCAAAACGTTGTCGCTGATGCATTGTCTCGCCAACAGATTAACAACACTTTAAGTTCCTCACAACATTCAGCTCAAAGTTCACCAATAAAAAAATTGAAACGCGTAAAACAACCATTAAATACATTTAGAAATCAAATAGTCATAAACTACAGTGCAACCAATTTAGTGGAAATCTCTTCGCAAAATATTTTTTCGTATTCACGACACACGCTTTTTTATTCGACTAAAGAAGAATTAATTGATAGACTGAAAAGAATAATAAACCCAAAGCTAACAAATGCTATAAAAATAGATGAACAAACTCTATTCCACATAGAAAATGACATAATTTCAACGTTTCCAAATACCCCGATCGTTTTAGCTCAGAAAATGACGGAAGACATAAACAGACAAAAATAAATCATAATACAAACACGCAGATGTGCACATAGAAATTATAAAAATAATGCAAAAGAAATACTGACTACATATTTTTAGCCAAATTTACGCCAAATGTGTAAAAAAGAAACACAAGATTGTGAAATCTTCTTAACAAACAAATACGAACGCAGACCAAACAAACAACCAATTGGAGCCGCACCAATACCAAACCACGTAGGTGAACACATGCCCAGCAAAACCAACGTGACCGAAACTCCAACACAAACGCAAATTGTATGCTGTTACTAACACACATGTAATAATTTTTGATTGGAGTGCCATCTATTGTTTTTTCTTGCGAGGTATCTTTCGCATATGAGTAAGTAGTCAAGCTAATCTTTTCACATATGAGCAAGCAGGCAAACTATTTGGTTTGAAAAATCACACGTACACAAAACTTCTGGGAGCATTTTTGATTCACTATTAAGAATGTGATAGCAAAACGTGCCGACATTAATGGGCACGCGTGACGGTCACGTTACTAGAAAAGTGGCCGTCACTGTTCTTGCTGGGTACATTTAGACTTATTTCACATGAACTTGAACACATACATCAGCACAACTGATAAAACTCAAAGTACTTATACATACGGGAAATCCCAAGTAAAAATAATACATACCAATACATTGACGAAATATTATCACAGATTAACCCAAACGCCAAGTATGTAATGGCAGATACCTACGGTGACCATCCGTTCTGTTTTTTGCAGGACCGTACTGTTTTTCAAAGGTCGGTCCTGCGTAGTTTTTCAAACCTGAAAAACCTGAAAATGTACTGATTTTTTCCAAGTGTCCTGCATTTGTCCCGCATTTTATTCGTTATTTTAAAATTATCGGACAATGGATGGATTTTTTCAAAAAAGTGTTTTTTGGGTGCTTTTCGTAGCTTCTCTTCAATATCTCATGAAAAAATCTCCCAATCAACGTAAGCGACTTACAGATCGAAGGGTATTGATGTGCCTCTTACTAAAATATATAACTTGTGGCGACTTCAATGAAAATTATTAGTGCTACAGGCGACCATTTGCATTTTGTCGTCAAAGTCGAAAAAAGTGAGGTTTTCAATCAAATACGCAGTTTCATTTGATTATTTTTTTTCATTATTTTAAAAATTCCATAAAGAAGATATATCACTACAGTAAATTTTGAGCCAAAGATAATGAAAATCGGATTAGAAATGTAAATGCTATGGAGAGCAATCTGCACAAATTATATATTTTTGTAAAGGGCACTTTGTAACTCGTCGTTTATGTCGATTCATGATCTCGATTTTTGACAAATGACTGCGAAAAGTACCAAAAAAAAAAAAAAGTTTACTGTTTTCGTTTTGAACGACTCAAAATTTGCCTATAAAATAATCTTTTAAAGATTTTCACTTTTCGTGTAAACTATTTTAATTATAATATGTTTTACTATACTTTTATAAATATTCATGTAAAAAAGATTAAAATCGATGAA